AATCGAGTAAAATTCCTAATACAGCATTTTTTGCATCATCTTTTGTACAAGGTCGTGAACCATATACGGCACGATTAAATGCTCGCTATGGTTTGTTTATTCGAATAATTCGTATTTTTTCATAATATATATTTTTATAGCTTGGAGACCTGCTTATATGGATGCTGATCAATATTTATATATTGATCTTGGTTCTCGATATTATGTTACAGGTGTTTCAACACAAGGCCGTCGTGCAGCCAAAGAATACGTAACAATATATAATATAATGTATTCTGATAATGGTCATAATTGGTTTTATTATACAAATGAAGATAAAATCATTGTGGTTAGTTAATTTTATAAAAAATATATTAAAAAAAAATAAATTTCATTTATTTTAGAATTTTGTTGGTAATAAAAATGATAATGGTATTGTACGGAATAATTTGTCAGATCCAGTTATTACACGTTATATACGTTTTAATCCACGACAATGGAATAATTTTATTTCGATGCGTGTCGAAGTTTATGGTTGTCCATTCAGTATGAAATATTAATTTTTATTATATTTAGAAAATTGTTTTATTTTTGCGTAATTTTTTCTAGCATCTTCATCGTTTAATTTCGATGGACATACTATTGCTTATTATGATGCGACATTTATTCCTCTACATAATAAACAAGATGAATTACGTTTACGTTTTAAAACAAATTATCCAAATGGAGTTTTATTTTATGCAAAAGGAACACAAAATAATGATTATTTAAATGTTGAACTTCGTAATGGAAGTATATTTGTTGGAGTTGATTTAGGTTCCATGCCGGGACGTCCAGGTTCAACAATAATTCAAGCTGGTAGTGTATTAGATGACTATCAATGGCATGATTTAGCTATTATACGTTACATGAAAAATATTTCGGTTAAAATCGATCAAAGTGTTATACAGGAAGAATCACAAAGTGCATTTACTGGTTTAGATCTTGATGGAAAGGTAAAAATATTTCGTCGTTATCTATCGAAATGATTAATATATGATTTTCTATTTCTCATTAGCTTTACGTTGGTGGAGTACCGAATCATATGGAACGCGGTATCACTGTTCGACCTAATTTTCAAGGTTGTCTTGAAAATGTGCTCTATGTCAGTCCATCAACAAATTCTATTTTGGATATATTACAAAATTTACAACGACAAAATCCATTCTATGGTCTTGAACAAGGAATGGTTGGTTCGGGAGCAATGTGTGAAGTAAGTTAAATATTAATTTCATCTTCTTCTCTTCATTTTTTTGTCATATTAAAAATAAAAACTATAAAATTATTTCGAATTTAGATCAACAAGTAAGTTAAAAAAGAATGAATATATCCTTAACCATCTGTTGTTATCATTTTTTTCTGCCAATAACTGCAGCTGCTGTGCTTATGCATGATAAAAATATATTTTCTTTTTCTGAGTTGCTTATAACATGCTTATGTCTAATAAATAATCATTTATTTATTGTTTAGGATGATTCAATGAATATGCATCCATATACATTTAAAACATTTGATTCTTATCTTGAAATTTTCCGTAAACCAGGTGCAACATCGATTGATTTAAATTTTCAAATGCGTACATTTGAACCGAATGGAATTTTATTTTATACAAATTTATCTGAACCAAGACAATTAATGATTGGTATTAATGATGTACCTGATCAAGATTTTCTACGAGTAAGAAAAATGAAATTTGATAAAAAAAAATTAATCTTTTGTTTTATTTAGCTTTTTCTTGATGAAGGACAATTAGCATGCACAGTCCAATTAGATGGAAATAAACGTACGGTCCGTCATCGTCGAGGTAAAATTTTTTTCTAAATTTTATTTTGTTTTTCTTATGATACAAATTTAGATAATTTAAATGATGGTCAATGGCATGAAATAAGTCTTTTATTGACACAATTTCGTTTTAATATCACAGTTGATTTTGAACCTGAATTTTCGTTTACACGTAATAATTTATCGACAACTGATCGATATACATTTAGTACAAATGGTGATCAAATAAATCGTGAAACAGCTATGAATGGTTTTGTAGGTTGTATAAGACAATTAGTTATGAGTGGCATACAAATATTACCAAGAGATTTGATAAATAATTTAACTGTTTTAAATCAAGGTGATAGTCGACCAAGAACTGGAACGGTTATTAATCATGGTGTACTTGTTGATGCATGTGAAATGTTTGATCGATGTACACCAAATCCATGTCGTCATGGAGGAATTTGTTATCAAACTTGGACTAGATTTCGTTGTGATTGTTCCAATACAGGTTATAGTGGTGCTGTATGTCATATCAGTGATAATCCATTATCATGTCTGGATTATAAAATAAATCGTATGAAAATTGACGAAGTCATTCCTGAACGTTTAACAACAATTGATATTGATGGTAGTGGTCCATTAGCTCCATTTTCTATTCTATGTCGTTATGGTGCTAAATCTGAAATTCTTAATATTACTGAAATTGGTCATTATCATGAATTAGAAAGTTATGTATCAAGTGGTTATCAAATACCTAATTCAGTTTATTCTCAAACAATAAATTATCGTGTACCATTACCACAAGTATTTGCTGTTATTGATCGTTCATATGTATGTAAACAATATATTGAATATACATGTTTTAATTCACGTTTATTAAATTATCCGAATACACCATATGGTTGGTGGGTTGGTCGTACAAATCAAACGATGGATTATTGGGGTGGAAGTGAAGTTGGCACAGGCAAATGTGCTTGCGGTTTAGATATGACATGTGCTAATCCAAATTTATTTTGTAATTGTGATTCACAATTTACAACTGAACTTAAAGATGCAGGATATTTAACACGAAAAGAATTTTTACCTGTTCTTCGAGTTGAATTTGGTGATACAGGTAATAGGAAAAAAACATACTTAACTTTTGTCATTTAGTAAAATTTTATTTTTTTTGATAATATTTTAAAGGAGCAGCTAATTCACAACAATATGGTCGATATCAAGTTGGTCGTCTTCAATGCGAAGGTGATTTATTATATGATAATACAATCACATTTCGTAAAGCCGATGCAATTATAACTGTACCACCATTTGAAGCTAAAATCGCTGGTGATATTCGTTTTCAATTTAAAACAGGTTTTGATTCAGCAACATTTGGTTCAGCTATTATTGTACAAAATATTGGTTATGATGATGGAGATCTTATTGAAGTAAATATTTCTTTTTTTGTAATTAATTATTTTAAAACAAAAATGATTTGATTTATTCTTAAAGATTCGTCTTCAAGCACCACGTGAAATAGCTTTTCGATATAGTGTTGGTCGTGGAACAAATATCGTAACAATTCGTGCACCCTATGATTTTAATGATAATGATTGGCATACAGTTCAGATAGAAATTAATCGACAAGAAGCCCGTTTAACAGTTGATGGTTTATCAGCTGCTAATCCTGAAGATCAAACAACATTTCGTCACATACGTTTAACATCAAACTTAACGATTGGTGCATCTGTAACAAATCGAAATGGTTTTGTTGGATGTATACGAGCATTTCAAGTTAATGGTGAATTAATGGATTTAAAATATCAAGCATTACAAGGAATGTATGGTATATCACCAGGTTGTATCGGTAAATGTCAAAGTAATCCTTGTTTAAACGGTGGACGTTGTAATGAACGTTGGTCAACATATGATTGTGATTGTACATTTACACCATTTCGTGGACCGATCTGTGCAACAGAAATTGGAACACGGCTTGAAGCAAATACAATGATTAAATATACATTTCCAACTGAAGGTGTAACAGCTACTGAAGAAGAAACTATTCGTGTTCTATTTACAACTTATAAAAAACAAGGTATATTAATACAATTGAAATCTGATAAAGTTGATGAAAAAGGTATGACCGATTATTTTACTCTTGAAATGAATAATAACGGTGGTGTACGTGTTAAATTTAATTATGGGTTTGATACATTTGAATATAATGTTCCATATGATTTAACAAATGGACAAGATCATGAAGTTATTGTTACACGTCGTGATTATGGTAAACGTATTATGATTAGTGTGGATAATTATGAACCATATGTTGATGTATTTCCTCAAACACAACAAATTGATATGCAATTTGATAGTCCACGTGTAATGTATATTGGAAGAAATGAAACAACACCACCTGAACAAGGTTTTAGTGGTTGTATTGCTCGATTACAATTTAATCGAATATTTCCATTAAAATATGCTTTCTTGGAAGAACGTGATCCAAATATAACATGGACAGGTGGAAGTATTCGGTAAATAAAATAAACAAAAACAAATAAATGTATATTTTTATTTAAATTTTATCAGAGAATGGCCATGTGGTACAGAACCTGTGAAATATTTACCTGAACCTGTTGAAATTCCACCTGATCGTGGTTTTTCCATACTTGGTTTGTTTTTACTTTTAGAATAATGCAAGAAAAATTCTTTTTTTTTCGTTTTTTTCAGCATTACCTCGTCCAATGTATAAACCAAATACTTTTGCTACAAATTTAGCTATTGTTTTCAGTGTAATAGGATTTGTTCTCGTATTTATCGCTATTGGTGTTGGTTTATGTATTCGTAAATCAAGTCAAAGTGGACATTATAAAACTAAAGAAGATCTAGGTGCTGATCAAGCTATTGATGCTGATACAGCTATTATTCGAGGTGATCCACGTCATCCAGATTTAACTGAAGCCAAAGAATGGTTTTTCTAATTATTCAATTTTTTTTCTGCAATTGCTCATTAATCAAGAGCTTAATCATATTTGTATATGTGTTTATTCCCCATGTGTGTACATAATCATCTATTTAGCATTCCATGTTTTTTTTTGACTTCACTGTTTATTTGTTTTTTTATATTATAAATGATAATGTTAGTATCAATTAAATTGCTATATCAAAAATTCTTGTTTATGAAGATTTGAATCTCATTATATAACATTTTGTTTTTTTTGTTTAGTATATTCAAAATGGCTTCCGTAATTGAGAATATCAATGTGAACAATTCCGAGGATGATTCAGATGCACCAGTTGAAGTTACAACAAAAACATCGAAAACAAAAACAAGAAAGAAAAAAACTGTAAAGCGTCGAGTTAAATATACACTTGCAACAGAAGAAGATAATGAATTAAATGAAAAACATGTCGATGAAGAATCTGCTCTTACACATTTAGTTTTTGGAGATGATGATGATTATCTTGAAGAATTAACATCAGCAGCTGGAAAAGATAAACCGATCAAAACAAAAAAACCAACAACTGACTCGAAAAGAGCAGCTTGGGTTGATAGTGAAGAAGTAACGGAAGAAATGTTAGTGAAATCTTGTTTTTTTTCTTTCTATTTGAAAAATTATTTTAATATTCAGTGTTCGTGAACCAAATTTCAACCAGATGGTTCCACGAAAACGTCGAAAAATTACAACAGGAGAATATGAAACAAAACTTAAATTCGAGTAAATTATATTTTTTTGTTATCAAATTTATATCAATTATTTTATAACTGTAGATATGAACGTGTTATGGGTCGACCATCATGGGCTGAAAAATTATTAAATAAAAATCCTGATGCTGGTAATTATTTTTTTGACTTATTTTATGATAAGGAATAGTTTTTGATTTATTTATTAGATGATAGTGATGAAGAATTATTTCGTCGTACGGGTAATTATTTAACTAAATCAACTGTATTAAGAGCTGGAACAATTGATTGTTTACGTTGTGCTGATTTTAAACATGATGTTGCTCATTCTGTATGTTATGCTTTGTATTTCTATTTTATAATTGAAATTTTTCTTCAATAGAAAATGTTAAGATCAGTAGAATTTCATCCAACTGCACGAATACTTCTTACAGCTGGACGTAGTCAATATTTAAATTTATTTCAAGTAATTTCAAATGAATTTATATTTAATCTATAAGAAAATGCATTATTATTTAGGTTGATGGAAAGAAAAATGAACGTATTCAATCACTTTTCTTTGATAAATTTTCTATTGATACAACTCGATTTACTAAAGATGGCAATCAAGTTATAGTTACCGGTGATAGAAATTTTTTCAAAGTATTTGATATGATCGAAGGAAAAATCATGCAAATACCAATGATGAGAGGTAAATAATACTACGAGGAAATATTTTATAGATTATGTAAATCTTTTTCAGGATTTGAAGAACGTTTGGGAAAATTTGAAGTAAGTCCTGATGGATCTTTAATCGTATTTATGAATCGAAATGGTCAATTACATTTTGTATCTGCAAAAGTAAATATATATTCTTATATATCATTCAATAATTTGAGATTATTTCTTCTAGTCAAAAGAATTAATTGACACTACTCAAATTTCTGGAAATATTAACAGTATTACATTTCGACATGATAGTGAATTAATGTTTGCTTCCGGAGGTAAGAATTTATTCGTTAATAATCATAATAAAATTTGAAAATTATTTATTAGATGAAGGCATTGTTACAGTATTTGATGTTCGTCGACGAGCAGCTATACATCGTTTTATTGATGATGGTAGTTATTCAACAACAAGTATGTGTGTTTCATCCAATCAACAATATTTTGTTACAGGGTATAGAATTATTTCATCGAACGAAAAAAAAATATATGAATTATTTTAATTTAGTCAAAAAAGTGGTATTGTGAATGTTTATTCTTATGATGATGTTATGAAAAATGGTGAACCAAAACCAATAAAATATTTAAAAAATTTAACAACATCAATACAAAATGTTAAGCTAAATGCAAGTTCAGAATTATTAGCAATTAATTCATACCATCTTTCAAGAGCAGTTCGATTAGTATGATATATACATATATATATGAAAGAAAAAATTTGAAATTTTGTTTTTAGGTTCATATGCCAACATTAACTGTTTATGAAAATTTTCCCGAATTTCATGATAAAAAAATTCAAATTGTCAATGGACTAGATTTTTCACCGAACAGTGGTTTTCTAACTTTAGGCAACAATAATGGCAAAGTGCTTTTATATCGTCTTAAGCATTTTAGTACTTATTAATACTAAATATCATTGTTATTATTGTTTTGATATTTGTGTTAAAATAAAATAAAAAACATATTGATTGATGATATGTTGAACATATCCAGGCAGAGAAAAAAAACAAAAACTTTCAAATGATTGATATTTTTAAGAGTATACTTTTGCTAAGTACTGACAACTTTTATTATATATATATATAAAATCTATTAGTGAATACGATAAGTAGTCATTCAAAGAATTGTTTTTATAACATTTAGTTTTCTTTTTTATATAAAATAGATTTATTAATACTTGAAGTCAAGCATTCTCCTACATAATAATTGCTTTATTCCAGAATACTTCAACAATTGCAGACATTGTCGATGATTGTTTCTATAGAAATGAAATGGGACTATTTTATTTTTTATAGTTTTAGAAATGTTGTTTGTCTTATTCTGAATAAGTGAGAGCAAGAATAAGTACATCAGACATAAAATAAAACTAGATTACAATAACCTTTCTGATACAACTAAATTTAGAATGATGATGTACTCGTCGTAAAGCTTATATTTTGAATTATTTCTATTAAACCGATAAAAGATAGAAATACATTTAAATTACTGAATTATTTTCCACTATGTTCAAATATGAAGGTAGGGTAATTATAAACGTAGTTTTCAATGAAAAGGAAAATTATATTAAAGAGTTTGTCGTATAAGTATTTTTGTATAGAAATATTAGTTCTTTTCTTCTGAGTTATTTTGCATGATGTAGATCTTAAAATCTTGATTGCCTATTTCCAAACAGGAAATCTTGACTGACTTTGTCATTTTGTGCTATCGAACACTTTTTATTAGATAAAAAATTGGAATATACTTATCAACAATATAAGTTAACTATTATAGTTTTTACTTATATTATTTTCATATAGAACATAACTTAGATGTTTACTCTTTGACATGTTCTTATATATAATATCACAGTAGAAGATAAATTATTATCAGTTATATAAAAATAGATCTTCTCCCACTACTAAATAAAATACAAAGAGCATCAAACTTATATAATATAGACCTATATGATGCGTGTTAATAAATACCTAGATTCAAACATAATTATATAGCTCAAAAGTCTACAATTAATGATAAAAAAAAATAATAATTATAAGTTAGATATGTGATTTGACTCTAAATATAAAAGAATAACAACAGTAAAACTTATCCTTCAATTAAGATATAGATAGAAAAAATGCAATAATAACACACAGAGAAAATTTCTGACATACTAATTTAGTATTAGTGATAAAAAAATGTCAACACTTCTATATTAGAATTAAAAGATTAACTAATATTTTCATAAATAGTATTAACATCATGTCAATTTTCATTATGATGATGACATATTTTTTATAGTTATGTAAATTTAGTTTTCCGGTACTTTTTTCTTTTTATCCAAGAAGCCTGATATTTATATCGTAGATAGATGATTATAGTCTTGTACTTATATTTTTAAAAGCTAAAGTATTATCATCATAGATCAATATATTGAACTGTAATAAAAGTGCAAAGAATATCTAGTTAGTAAAAAGTACCTGGAAACTGGGGTTATGTACTAGAAAAATATATAATTTAATCATGGTAGGTAGTAATATGATGTTAATGTTTAATTATTATTAATATAAAAGTATTATATTAGCTTGTTCAATCCTAATACATTAGTACTAATATTAACATTAAATAATGAAATATTGATACTAACTCAGTATCCTTTTTCAAAAAATATCGTATTGCTACGTACTCACGTGCAGATATAGTATAAAAGGTTAAATATATTCTATATTTTGAGAAAACCTAAAAATTTTTAGATAAAATAATGGTTCATCTTGTTGAATAGAACTTCATGACCTATATAAAATTTTTATTATGAAATGAACTAAATAACATCATACCAATAGTTTAAATCAAATATTAAAATGCACTTTTTTTTATAGTTTTATGGAGTTATTTTTGAATACATTTGTCATATGTCTAGTTGAAGGATATTGGTGGGAACTTATTAAAAAAATGAAAATTAAATTGAAAAAATTTCTTTTCTATTTTTATCGTTTACTATCGTTAGTAAGTGAACGGGGGAAGTTATTACGAGAGTATGAAACTTTTTCTTATATAAAAATATCATGATTTTTTTTAGCTTATATTTAAGATTTTTGAAAAGTAGGCTTATAACAAGACTTCATTATACGTAAAGTAATTACAGATTAACTCATATCTCATTTAATTTTAATTTATTCATGATAAAAATAGTTTATAAAAAGAAAATGATTGAAAAATCAATTTACTTTCTTGCAATATAAACTATAGATTTTTTTTTTTGATATAATATAATCTTGTGGAAGTAATATTTCTTATAATTGAATAATAAATGAAGATATATAATGTACTTTTTCTCGAATTGTTCATGCAGATAAATCGTAATCTAGATTAGATATTTCATTTGGGAAAAATCATTCCTTGCTTCTTCTTCTTCTTCTTCAAGTCATATCAGTATACATAATACAATGGAGAATAATAGATGAATGTCAGGTTCTAGCTATTACAAAATGATTACTTTGTCGCTTGTTTAAAGGACAAAAATAGTCGTCCTTGATTACAAGCTATAGATATATTGACCTTAATGCCATTTGTTAAACAAGACTATTTATATGTACCCGATAGATACACAAACAAAATGTCTCCAATTTTTAAAAAGTTGTCTTTTCTTTCTAAATCTTCTACTTGTGACTTGAGAAATTTAATTTCTATAATTGATAAAAAGTCTTTCATTCCATTTTTAGATATATTAAAAATATTCTAGAAAAAAAAATTAAATGTGTGTGGTTATAAAACACACATAATTTTCATCAGGTGCAAATATAATCGATACAAAGTTCAATAGCATATTAAATGAAGCACTTAACACTTTATAAACATGAAAATAGTTCAATCTCGAATAATAGATTCTTTTTTATATTCATGCCAATCTATATAATGTATGCACTTAGTATATTTAAAATATGTTATTTTTCTTAACACCTTTTCATATTAAGAGAGGTAACTATTTTAGTATTTAGTCTTAATATTTAAAGTCTGTTATTATTTTGTCAATAGAATTAGTTTTTTGCTTATCTTTTATCTATAACATTTTTAATTATTAGTATTTATATTCTAGAGTTTTTTTTTATTAGAAATATTAATTGAGATATACTGAAATTAATTTTGTAGATCGATTTTTTAATGTTAGTTTTTATCAGACATTTTCTATTTCCTAAATAACATACATATTTCATTTGTTTTTCTTTACTCTTCTATTTATGAAATAAACAATGTAACCATGACAGATGTTGCCTGTTGTACCATATTATAGAGAGAAAAAAAACATTAGAGAAAGAGAGAAAGAGAGAGGGAGAGAAGCGCTAAGATAAAGACAAGAAAAAAAAGCAACAAGCCATACGGACACACTAAACATACAATTAGCTTAGTTACATATTCGTTTCTGATCGTTTTCTGTTATTGTCTAACAGCATTAAATAGAAAACTATATAACTTTTTTTTTCTTGATCGACAACGTCTGTTCGTGCAATTCTTAGAATAAAAGAGACATCTCAATATACAATTTATTTGTTTATGCCCAAAGTAAAATGGGTAAGTCAATATATTTATATTTCAAGCTAATGGAATTAGAAACTATTAGCTATTCTTTATAATCTATATCTTGAATATAATATATTTTTAAAAATAGAATTTTTCTTACTGAAATTTGCTTCAATTAAGATTGATACATATGAATATGACAAATAAATAGTAATAGACACTAACACTTTTTTGTGTTTTTTTTGCCTGACAATCATCGTTATTTTTTTCTTTTGAGTAGATACTAAATGGATGTTCATCAACGACTCTCATATTGTTCTTAGAAAAGAGCAAAGAGTCCATTAAATATAAAGGATCACATGAAATATTTCTACTTGTTTTTTTTATAGTATTTCTAGAATGACAAAAATTGAAGGCATCATATTATCATGATAAAATACAACCGAAGGGAAAAAACGTCATATAAATCATATGACTCAATTGAGTATTGTTATGCTTCATTTAAGATATATCGTATAACTTTAATTAGTGAAATATTTATGTTTTATTAATAGGACAGGTTCGTAAACGATTACATTGCATTGATTTAAGTTTTCAATCAGACTAGTTATACAATGTATTAGAGAGAATCATTATAAATCCATATTATTAGATTACAGAAAGAACCGTCGAGATATTAGATGAGAAATTTTACCATATGCTGACTTTTTGGTATTAAAAACTATTTTCATTGTAACCAATTTGTGATAAAATAGGTTGTTAAGTGTATACTCACGTGTTTCTCTATTTTATATATTGACATAATTGTTATTGACTAGTATAATTTAGTTTTTTACGAATATAAAAATAGAAAATTAATGCACGACACATAAATAATAAAATATTAAACTGAATAAGAAAGATCGTTATTAGACTTAACAAGTATTAATCGAATATTTGATAGAAAGAAGAAAAAAAACATAGTTTCGATTAAGTTAATGATATAATACATATAACAAGACAAAAATATATTTTTTCTCTTTATTGAATTAGACTTGAATGAATAATAAATAGAAAGGTTCAATAATATTATCTTGTCAGAACCAATATGACCCCTTTGAAAAATCAGATATTTCTTTTTTTAGTGTATGACGTATAATATGATCATCAAGTCTAAGTATATCTCAAATTTCTCATTGTTAATAGAATGATTCTATAAAAACAATTCTTTCAACTATTTTTATGATTAATAACAACATAGAATAGATCTATTATTAACACTTCTTAATCCAACGAAAATATCAAATATAATATGGATTTATATTGAGACATGTTTTCTATTCCTATTCAAAAGGCAGGTCTAGACAGTTAATAAATATAAATACATAGAATTTCATTACAGGAAAAGAAAAAACATAATAATATGTTATGTCCTATATTTTTCAAGAAAATCGGTACATTGAGTTTTGTTTTTCTAATAAAAAATATTTGTCTAAATATATAATGAACCTATAAATAATTACTGATGCCCTTCCTACTATCTATTCGTTCCTGTTATTTGTTATGTGTGAAGTTCATAACGATACTACTCGTAAGAATTACCTTTATCAGCGTAATAGGTATGTAGAAATCTTTTTATAAGGATATTTAAATTTACTTAAAATAGCTTTTTTTCGTGTCTTCTTCAATTACTAACTCTTGTTTATTCAATCAAAAGACCATGAAAGATTAATACTCTTAGAATAATAAAAGTCGCTTATAATTTTATTACAAAAGATTAGCTTTTTTGCAATCTAGTTTGTAGAATACTATTAAAGAAGACTATTTTTTTGTTAAGAGGAAGCAAATTGATTTCCCGATTGTTATTAATAAAGATCATTTTTTATTCATTCTTTGTAAATCATAAAAAAAGTATTATCAGCAAATAGTTTGTAAGTTAGCGAAAACTACTAAGGAAATTTCATAGACATCAAGGGGTTTTCATTTTAATCGTATTACTAATAATTATTAATGAATTCTAATAATAAATCTCAGTTTGTTCTTTTATACTTGTTCATTTTCTTCTTTTTTTTTCATGGTTTCATGTAGACATTACAAATATCTATTTCTATATTCAGTCGTTAATATATATTATTTATTATGAAAAATAGAGTACATTCTTTTTTGACTTATTTCGATGATTTATATATTCGTATTCCTTTCTGAATAATTGAATTTGTCATCGAAATTTTTATAATAGATGTCAAATTTTATTATACATTTATTGTTATTTTATAAAATGCTCCATTGAAGTTAATATTCTTGAGGATCAAATTTCAATTGAATCCTACACAAAATAGACAGTGTTTTGTTTTTGTTCGTAGCTAATTTTTTAACCTACTTCTATAGAATATCAGAACAAAAAAACATTAAGGTAAAATCCCGAATGTGTTTTGTTTTAGAAGTTTTAAATAGAAAACAAGGTAAGAAAGAATTAAGTGTTGCATTTTATGCGTCCATTCGGTAAGTCGACGATTGAGACAATATAGTCACGAAATATATTATGATATATTCATACGCATGACTTATTGATAAAAGAAAAACAATTTATATTACACGATATTTCTCTTTTTGTAACAGGAACTTTGTATGTGTAGTATAGAAATATAGCATGATTTTTTCATCGTGATTGTAAGTTGAATTAGTCTATAGTTTAGATATTTAATTAATCTCTATTGAATACTATTTCCTTGATGACAAATTAAGAACTAAAACTTTTCTTTTCTAATCAATATATTTTCTTTTGTATTCTCTGAATCGTTCTAAGGGGGTCTCATTGTTTTTTCGATTCGTCTATTTCTTTTCTTCTTTTTATCGTAATAACATTTACAAGAATTTCTTTCAATAAACTTTGTTTACAGTAAGAGAATGGAATAAGAGAGAGAGAGAGAGAGAGAGAGAGGAAAAGAAAAATCTAAGAACCATAAACTGAATAAGAACAAAAGAGAGATTGGCAATGACAGTATACATAAGAGCTCCTTTATTAATATTGATTTCACTAGAATAGAACATCGTGTTTGACAAATATTCTTTCTTCAATCATTGTCATATTACGTTGAGATAAGATTTTTCTTTTTTTTTGTCTATAAATCTATTCAAACCCGAGTTGTCTCTTAATTAACTTTATAAAAATGATGACAGATATAGAAGAAAACACAATAAAAGAAATCTACAAAAATATGTTTTTCAATTTTTTTAATTATCTTTAGATGTATTTTGTCAAATAATAAACTAACAATGGCAGCACCAATTAATTTTAGTCTTATGGTTTATTTCATTGTGGTAGCAATAATAGGTACACTGGGTAATGGTGTTATATTATTCGCATATGGACATCGATGGAGTTCATCGAAATCAACATCAGTTATATTTATACTTATTCTTGCTTGTGTAGATTTATGGACATGTTTAATTGTTGTACCGACAATTGCTATTATGGAATATCGTGATTTCGCTGTTCCAACAACAATTTGTCGTTTTTATTCTTTTTCAAAAAATCTTATTATTATTTCATCAATTATAATGTCATTTATTGCTCTTGATCGATTTTTAAGTATAGCATTACCACATTGTCGATTATTAAATCCACGACGAGTTAAAGTAAGTAACTAAATATTTTCAATTTTAAAATATCTCACACTAATAAATGAGTAATCAGTATCAAATTTTATCTACAATTAAATATAATATATGATCTATCACGTGCATTTAATTAGCGTTGTTTGTTATATGATATTAAACTATGAAGAAAAACATGCATCGAACTTGTAGGAACTTCTTTGTAATAGTATATGTTTATTACGTCAAACTCAATTACCCTTGAAATTTTAATATTATGTTTACTATCAGCTAGTATATCACTTTAGTGTTCTAAATAGTTGTTTTTTCCGTTTACAGTTGCTCGGATATTATTTATAGTAGATTTTTCTTTTTTTTCATATGATATTATTCTGACATTAGGCTATAGAAAATGTCAAGATTAAATAAAATGTCCTTATTATTATAAATATTTGTTTATTAATTTCTGTAATATTTCAAATATGTGACAAATATAAAATAATCTATTATGTTTATACTAAATCTATATTCGTCCAAAATGATTTACTTTTTGATTAAATATTTGTCACAACCACATCTATAGATACAGATTGTATCAGTTATATGCCCCAATGACTGTCATATGTTTAATTTTTTTCAATAACTATGTTAGTATTAACGCACATCAATACTCTATTATAGAATAGACTATAGTAATAGGTGACCTGGAATGATTAATCTCTCCTTCAAAGATTCGTTAATTGTTTATTTTATAGACACAAGATTCATAAGTCTAGATATGCAATTTTTTTACTCGTAATTAGAAAAAAGAAAATAAACCATCTGTTAAAAGTAATAACTTTAATTGAGTACTCAGCATACACACGGTACTCTTACACTTTGTTGTACTCTATATGCAGAAAAATTGCATTCTTTTCTGATGCTTAAGATGATAAGGTACCGTTTAATAGTGAAAATTGATGCGTGTTAAATTTTTAAATAATAGAAAAGTAATAATTAGATGAAATAAACCAGTGAACCTATTAATATCACTGCAATTCGAAAGAATGATAATTAACTAGATGAAGAAAATATTTTTTAACGCTGATAAATACAACATGACATTCTATTTTTCTCTAATAATTTAGTTTCAATTACATATTAGTCATCTTATATTTACTTTGCTTGCGGATTTTATCTAATATTGTTTATGCCATTCTAAATCAATATTATTATTCATATATTTTTTATCACGGTCGTTAGGTATTTTAATGAACATCACGTTTTTTCTTCTCTCATTCTATTTCGAGTCCACAGGTAATATCCTTAAAAATAGAAAAATCTATTACCAGTAGGAAATCTATTCAGAAAAGAGCTCATGATTTCATGCTTATTGATCTCATTTATAATATATAACCTTTAATTGCATCATTAATCTATATTTTCAAGGCAATCAATATCAATGAAATATCATGATTTAGTACTTGATTAATGATGACATAGATATTTTTTTATTAGTTAACATAGACTCACGCACATAAAATAAATATCACCATATGGATCGATGTACTTATATAGAAATTATAATAATGTCATTTAACTCTTGGAATAAATTATATTTCTATTTAATCCTTGATAGTTTCCAACTGAATAATTATTGAGAATAGGAATTATCAATAGAAATATTGCAAAAAAATTTATTACAAATTAATTGATAAGTGGATACTTTTTCATTCATTATAACTTTGAATGATAAATTGCTAAAACAGAATTTAGTAGACATTAACTTTTAAATATCAGATATATTTAAAATTATTGTAAGAAAGCTATATAATTTATAGATGACCTATCACAGTTAATACGAATTAATCTCTATTGACATTTTCAGTAAAATGTTCCTGTATAGCTTCTATAAATAGTAATAATTATGAAAATAACAATAATCCATCAGAGATACAGACTGAATGTTCATAAAAAAACTGATCTAACTCTTTGGGCCCCGACTATCATCTTTTTTGCGAAATTTTGAATTTTTTATATGCACCTCTAAAATATGATTTAATGATGGTACTTAGAATTTACTTTAATTTACCGTGTGCAGTAAAGTATGTGCACTTTACTTTACCGAACAACGTTAAGTAAAAAAGGCTACTTTATTGTACCGGGTAAAGTAGAGTAGAGTATCTTATTTTCGGCTACTTTATTTGATAAAGTAAAATAAAGTTAAAGTGCCATTCTTAATATGATCTTTATTTCTTTATAAACAAATTATATTTTTGTGTTAAAGACTATTAGCAGTTCATTCTTGCATACTAGTCCTTGAAGTAATCAACAATACATAGAGATGGATTGCAATCAGAACAAATAAATTGTGTATAACGTCGAATATTATGGAATATGCAAACGATGTATTTCCTTAGAGACTGTTTGATTGCGATGTTTGTCAAATAAGTGAATGGAAATATCGAATAGTAGTCGCTTTTTGTGGTCTGTGCTTTGTCAAAATCGTTCTAATTATTTCATACCGAAAGTTAGATATGAATAACACATGCATTGTATAGTGTTACATTCGAAAGATGAAAAAACAAAGTGATTGTATTGGAATGTAATAGACTAAAAGAATGTGTGAGCTATCATACAGAACATAGACATATGATACTGGCAAGTAGAAAAGATTGTGCTTATGTACCATTACTTAATAAATGATAAAGAAAATATGTTCTAAATAATTAAAGAACATACTAAAAATATCTTTGTCAAGTGCCAGTATCAAGAAGTTCATAAACATCTCCAGAATTCAAAGAGCTAATAACTAAAATCTTTATTTTATGTAGATATATTTTAATAAACAAAAAATTTATTTTCTTTCTCTTTTTTAGTCATTATTAATATTAATTATTGCAATAGGTATTGGTCTTGGTACAGTAACAGCATTAGCATTTTCTACTCAACCATCAGCAAACAATTATCTTACTAACGTTAGTGTTACTTCGTCAAATGGATCTTCTATAATAACGTATAATCAAGAAGTTGCTTTTCGTGCTGATCATAATATTTCACTATCGAATACAACTGATTTAATTATTGAACAATTAGAAATTTCTGATGGTGCTAATGTAACAATTCTTGATTTAGAATATAAATCAACATTAAAACAATGTTTTGCTGATACATCTATCATGCCCGAAGCAATACGTGAAATATTAAAAAGTTCATCAAATAAAGCTTTTTATACATTAGTTGGTATAGTAACAATTTTTTATACAATTACATTTGTACTTGCTCTACGTCGACAAAATCCACGTATACGTGCATTAAAAAAGAGTTTACATGTTTTAAATAAATTTGATTCATATCCATCACCTAAATCATCTAATCAACGACCGGCTGATTCTGTTGTTTCAATTCGACCATCATCATGTCCACCAACAGTAATAACAACAGCATTACCAAAACAAACAATAACACAATCTCATATTAATACTAATGAACAACATTATGAAATGTCTGGTTTTAGTCAACAAGATGATAGTGATGATCAAAATCTTTCATCACCAACTATATTAAGAAAAACAGAACAAATTAAAAATAATACAGAAAATAATATTAGTATATCAGAAGGTACATCTGATGAATTACAACCATCATCTGAAAAATTAAATAGTATCAAACAAGTATCATTTCAAATTGAAAATCGACGTAATACATTAAAAAAAGAACAAAATCAACATTTATCTGTATCATCCACATTACTTAATGGTGAATTAGATATTAATAATGATATGTATTATAAATTACCATGTCCATGTTCAACAACACGTCAATTATTAATCAAATTTCATTTTATCCGACCTGTAATAACCTGTAGTAAATGGTTCTGTTGTTGTCATCGTTGTATAAAAAACCCATCATTAACAAATCATCTTACATCAAGTGTAGGTCAGCCTGAAGATGAATCAGGAACAACATTAACTTCAAATGTTCCAAATTCTCCAACATCAACATCAACAACGAATAGTGATACATTACGAAGACAATTACATCGTCATCGTATACAACAATTACGTATGGCATCAACATTTTTAATTATAACAGTATCTTTTGTTCTTTTCTATTTACCATCAATTTTAAATGCTGAACGAATTATAAAAAGTCCTATTATGGTTTATTATTTATATTTATGTACACATGCATTAAATCCAGTTATTTATTGTTTTATGAATCCTAGTTTACGTACTTATGTTTTATCAATAGTTCGTTGTCCGTCGAGAAAACGAAGTGGAAGTCATATCGGAGGAGGAGGACATTCATTTTTTGAACGATAAAATTAATAAAAGGAAAAAAAATGTATATATTTTTTCTTATATATTTTATTCTTTTTTGTTGTATATGTGATATTGTGCAAAAATGGAGCATTTGTCAAATTGAAGGAGGAAGAAGAACATATGAAATATTTTTTGTGTATTATTTGAAATAATAAATATCTAATGACAATGATAGATGTAACATATGGTTTATAGATCTGACAGATATAAAATAAACAAAGCATGGTAAAACTATCAATGTATATCTAATTCTTGTAGCTCTAACTGGACAACAGAAAATATATGATGCAAAATTCAATCTTTTACTCTTTTTCATGGTTGATTGATAAAATTTCATCTTCTCTGGGAAGTTCCGTATTGTATAGAAATATTTTTTTTGTTATTCTCCGTCACATATGTTTAAAATGAATAATTTTTACATAAATATTTGAATTTAAATCCCCTTGTGGTATTGTTCGCATGGTGTAATAGAAAAAAAAGACGAAATAATTAACATTTTCCTATGGTTCAATCAGTGCAATTTTATTTTATAAATAACAGCATGATAAATCCACATATTACTACGGAAATTTAAAATAATTTAATCTCTAATCATTCAACCTTAACTTCTTACCGTTCAAATATGAGAAGAGAGAAGAAAGTAGTAGAATGTAGGTGTGTGTGAATGTTGAATAAAGATAATATTGACGCCCACACCTATCCACCCTCCTTTCAAAATTAATTAAAAAATGACTTATGAAAGAAAATCTATTGTGAATATAGTATAAAACGATAGATATAAAAATTCTAGACTTATATTATTTTCTTTCAAATAACATTTAATTCGATAAAAACATATTAAAAGTATTAGAAACTTTCATCTCTGTTAAACTATATATAAATAAATATAATAAGTTATTTTCAGGTTATCAAATAAAAAAAGATAAACACAAGAAGCTACTATCGAAATTTGTTTTTGTTTCTATGGTTGTTTTATGACATTCGTCATATTACTTTCTGTATACATCATTTGTTATCAGTAGTAGCAAAGTGGTTGTTGACACTAAAAAATAATAATAAATATTCCAATGGCAACAGCTACGCGAACTGTAAATGAACCATTTGTTCGTATACGACTTGTTAAATTTTCTGTTGGAGCACAAAGTCATCCCTTACAAAATATTAAATTAAGAGTGGAAACATTTGATTTTCAACAAAGTAATTTTTTTTATTTTGTTTTATGTTTTGAAAATATTTCAAAATCAACAATAGTTTCAACAGCTCGACCAAAATTTCCTGAATATGATAAGAAAATGAACAATTTCTGTTTTGAAACACGTGCTAAACAAGGTCGTCAAGTAACCATAGATGTTTATATGGATGTAAAACAGTCCAATTATACATATAAAACATCAATTGAAGATTTAATACGTAGAGCAGATAATGTTATTCGCGAAGTAATATAATTTCGAAATATTTCTATTTTATTATTTTTAATTCAGTATCGATTCAGTGATAAAAGTCAAGCATCAATGTCAGTTGAACTTCTTAGTAAGACTCAACTAATACAAACATTATAGAAAATCTTTATTTAATTTTTAGTACCAAATGATAATGTCAGAGAAGCACAACGAACAATACATAATAAAATACGTAAACATTATGGTCATGAATTTCTACCAAAGTAATATAATTATTAAGTTATAATATAAAAACTTTCTTTTGTTTGCAGATATTTTACTACACTACCTGTGTTTTGCAGTGATTGTAAAAAAGTTCTTTGGTAAATTTTTTATTGTAGAAAATAAATTCCCTTTTTAAATTATAATTTTCTCAAGGGGTTTTAATACACCGGGATATCGTTGTCAATTATGTGATCTAGTCGTTCATGAACTATGTATTAAAAATGTAGTAACTTGTAAACAATTAGGTGTATGTTTAATACGAAATTATTTAGATGCAAATAAAAAAGCAATTTCATATACTGTAGCTATCTGATTCTCCGACAATACCAACAGTTTCACATAATTTTCTACATGAACCAAATTTTTTACCACTTTTTTGCGATCATGATGGTAAAATTATACATCCATTACGAGCATGGAAATGTTCAAGTAAATAAAATTTATATTTCACTTTAAATAGTTGCTTTATTTTTTACTGCAGATTGTGAAATGATTGTTCATTCAAAATGTAAAAAAAATGTAGCACATTTTTGTGGCACGAGACAAGTAGCTGTTCGAATGTATGAAGAATGGAAAGAACAAGTAAATAAATAATTATCCTATTTTAAATGGAAAAAGAATTTCTTTTTTTTAGAATAAATCAGATTCAATTGATGCATATGTTATAACAGACGATTGTACAACAACAGAAATAGAAGAAAACAATCAAACACAGTTAATTAATATTTATGAAAGATTACAACAGGAACGTGAACGTGATAGTGCTATACAAGATTTAAATGTAATTACAAAACCATATCAATGGTCAGATAATTTAAATCAAACGTAAGTATCACATTTCTTAATTATTATTAATAATTCCTTTTTGTATTCTTGACAAAAATATAGTCTAACGAATTATTATAACAGAAGTGTAGTTCTTCTTCATAATATATCATTTCATGCATTGCTTGGACATGGAATGAGTGGATCTGTAAGTCGAAAAAAACGAGAGAATTTATTTTTGATTGCTATAAATTTGTTTAGGTTTATTGGGTAAAATATTCTGAACGTGATTTTGCTTTGAAAGCACTTCGTAAACATCGAATATTTGAAGCCAATGAATTTGAGTGTGTAAAAAATGAACGTGATATTTTATTATTCTCTCGTGATAATCCATTTATTATTCAATTATATGCAGTTTTTCATGATTTTCAACGTGTTTATTTTTTACTTGAATATGCAAATTGTGGAGCATTTTATGAATTTTTATTAACATTTGGTTCTAAATTCGATAATGCATGTATTAAATGGTTTTCAAGTCATATTATTTGTGCTATTAGTTATTTACATTCGAAATTAGTGGTAAATATATCCTATTAGCAAAAAATATGACTCATTTTTATTTATAGATCCACAGAGATTTAAAACCAGAAAATGTTCTTTTAATGCGTGATGGTCGTTTAAAATTAGCAGATTTCGGTTTTTCTAAACAATTAATTTCTGCGACAGGTACAACGCGTACATTTTGTGGTACATCGGAATATATCGCTCCGGAAATCTATCAAAATTTCGATTATAGTTTTCCTGTTGATTATTGGTCATTAGGTGTAATGATTTATGAAATGATAACTTTACAAACTCCATTTTATCATCCAAGTGAATACGAAATAAAAGAACATGTTATTAATAAAGATTTTCAATATCCACCTAAAACAACATCTGATCTACAATCAGTTATAACTGGTTTATTAACAAAAAATCCAAACGAACGTTTTGGAATAAATGAACTTCGTTCAAGTACATTTTATTCATCATCATATTCATTAGAAGATATCGAACAAGGAAATATAAAATGTCCATGGAAAAGAACCGTACGTAGTTCTTTTAGAATTTTATATGATTAATATATTTTATTTTTTTAGATTCCACTCAATCCTTCTCCAGATAAACATTCATCAATGCAAACCGTTCGCTTATCACAGATCGACGAACAATCAATATGTACCACACTTACTTTAAATAAAAATAATTTTCGTCATTTTTCATTTATTGGTTTTTAATTAATATAAAGTCATTTCTAATTATCATGAATAATCTTTTTTTCGTTTTCTCTTTCGAACAGTTCTTACCATTCGTTTCGTTCTCAAAATATTAACTACTGTTCTTTTTTGTTTTTTATTCGTTCGAAATGTATTTTTTTCTTTTATTGATGTATTTTGCATTCTGTGTTTTTTTCTCGTTTTATTATTGACGAAAGAAAAAAAGAAATCGTCAAATATTTACGCACTCACTGTAGTGCCACTTTTTTTAAAGATATTCTTACAACGTATGCGTCTATAAATTTATTAGAAAGTTGGTCAGTCAATATACAAATGACATCGACTCTACGTTCGAAATTTTCCAATGCTCATTCAACTACTTCTAGTATAATAATAAAAATTAATTTTATTGACAAAAAAATATTTTAATATTCATAGGTTTATCTCAAGATCCTCATCCATTCTTACGTATGCAAATATATAATTTTCAAATACAACCGAGTAATCAATCTGTAAATTTATCACATATTAGAACACAAGTTGAACTTAAAGAAAAACTTCGAACAACACGAGATAATATTGAAAGTAAACAAACAAAATTTCGAAACTTTTCTTTTCATTTGAATTATTTTCTATTTAAGAACCATCAAAAGTTAAATTTCCAGTATATCTTGAAAAAGATAAATGTATTCCATTTGATGCTGGTTTATTACATAAAATAAAAAGACAAATTATTATTCGTATTCATTATGATAATGTTATGTATATATTCGAGTCAGATTTAGATGCATTGAAAAAGATAGCTGATGGACGTAGACATCGAGTAAAAAATTTATTCTTAATGAAATTTTGTCTCATTAGTTTTTCCTTTAGTTTTACTTTACACCACAAGCTCAAGCTGAAATGGCTGTGAAATATAAAGGTAAATCAAAATTCAATAGTTTATAGAAATTCAATGGAATAAATTATATATTTTTAGATTCAACTGGACAAACAATTGTTGGATTAGATGTTAAACAAGGTGAAAGTCGTTTAGCTGAACGACGTCAACAAATTTATAAACATTTTGGTCATGAATTTGTACCAAAAATATTTAAATTACCAACATTTTGTTCTGTATGTACAGATTTTCTTTGGTAAATAAATCTTTCTGAATGGAAGAAAAGCACATATATATACCTACTATTGAATTTTAAGGGGATTTGCCTATCAAGGTTATCAATGTCAACGATGTGATTGTGTTGTACATAAAGGATGTTATAGTCGATATGCATGTCCATGTAAAGGAAAAAAATATCCAGATGTAAGATATTCTAGTGTGTTATTTTTCTTAATTAAATTATTTAATTTTAGCTTAAAATAAATGTTGCTCACACATTTGAACTTCAACCATTTTCTTTAAAACCTCTTTTTTGTGATCATTGTGGAAGTTTTATTCGACCTGGACATGTTCATAAATGTTCTTGTATGATTTTATACTATAGAACTTATTTTATTTTTTTTATTTATTGTTTAATTAAGATTGTACAATGATTGTTCATCGTCGATGTATAGCAAAAGTGGGTAATTATTGTGGATGTAAAGATAATGTTTTAGCATTATATGAAAAATGGAAAGAGACAGTAAACTTTATAAAAAAACAAAAAAAAATGATTGTATTAAAATTTAGTTTTCTATTTAGCATGATAATGAATCAGATTATAATTATCAATATAATGGTGATCTATATAATATTTATTCAAGTCTTAGTAGTGCTGAACAACAAGAATATACTCAAAAAGCAATTGAACGTGTATCGAAATGTTATCGACCAAATATAACAACTGGATTTAATATAAATCAATTGCAATTAATAAGTACATTAGGACAAGGAATGAATGGAGCAGTAAGTATAAGTTTTTCAAATTTAACTATAGTAAAGAAATTTAATATAAAATATTTTCAATTGATTTACTGATATATTTATAGATCTTTACATGTTTTTACCATAGATGAAAGTGTTCTACATTTTATAGGTTTTCCCTTAAGAAAACCATTAATATGTGAGATGGATAGTAATGGTAGAAACCTTAAAATTTTTGAATATGAGTTATTTTATGATGTCAAGAAGCATTATACTACCACAGAAATCTTATAAAATGACCTCAACATTTTCTATATATACAACTAATCTATCCGCTGCTAAAAATATATTCTAATTTTCTTTTACAAGAGAAGATCCTGAAGTAATGACCCGAGTTAAAGGGCGATATTATGTGGGCTTGGTATACTAAGTGTCACTGTGTTAAGTATGAAACAATTATTGATTGAGGTCAATTCGCTGAGAAATTATATTTGATAGGTCAAACCCACGCAATATCAGCTTTTAATTCCCTTGTTAGATTATTTTAATCATATCGTTTATTTCCTCAATAGGTTTATCTAGTTCAATATGATCGAAATCATTATGCAATGAAAGTATTATGTAAAAATGTTGTATTAGAAGGACAAGATTTAGCTTATGTTATGTTAGAAAGAAAAGTCATGATTCAAAGTCAATCAAATCCATTTATAATTCAATTAGCTTATGCATTTCAAAATGCTGAAAGATTATTTTTTTTAATGGAAGTAGCACGTGGTGGAAATCTTTATCGTATGCTTTTGGAACAAACACCAAGACCATTTGCATATGATCGTATTGTTTTTCATTCTGGAGAAATCGCTTGTGCACTTTCATTTCTTCATTCAAAACGTATTGTATGTATTTTATTTTACAAAAAATTCCACTTTCTTTATATTTATTTCTTAGGCTTATCGTGATCTTAAACCTGAAAATGTTCTTATATTTGAAGATGGACATATAAAATTAGGTGATTTTGGTTTATGTAAAGAAAATATCGATCAAAATCCTAAAGCAACAACATTTTGTGGTACACAAGAATATATAGCTTATGAAATCTATAAACATTTTGAATATGATGAAAATGTTGATTGGTGGTCATTAGGTATAATGATCTATGAATTATTTACATTTATAACACCATTTTATGATGAAGATGAATTACAAATCGAAGAAAATGTTCTTTTTAAAGATGTTTACTATCCTGAAACAATGCGGAAAGAAGCAAAACAAATTATTTCAGGTTTACTTGAACGTGATTCAAAACGACGATTAGGAAATAAATCTTCACCACTAGGATTATTAAAAGACCAACCTTTTTTTTTAAAGTAAGATGAATATTTTTCAAAAATAATAAATAAAAAAACATATTTATTAGAGAACCATATACATTAGACAATATTGAAAATCGTCGAGTACCTCCACCATGGGTTCCTAAGGTATGTATTATAAGTTTTTGATGACTGAAGTCTACTAAGTATTCAATTGCTTCTAAGTTAGAAGTATGTCGATTCTTATCACTACCATGATATAGTATCTTTTATTACAATGTCATGACCTATTCTAGGAGAATTATTAAAAAGACCATATGTCGCCTGCAGTAAACTATTCTTTTCAAAGTAATCAAAGGTTATTAAAATGTGCATGATTGACTTGAAAATAATTGAATATTATATAAATTTCTTTTATAAATAATAAGGACCTTATTCCTATTGGTAAATGTTAGGGAGAAAAAAAAGGCAATATATGTACTTTTGATTAAAATTTCTTTTCATTTCTAGTCTTTAACACCATTGGAACCAAGTAGTAAACCATTACGTTTACCTGATTTTGAACAAAAAGATAAAGTTTTATTATTATCAACACCACCCGATACATTTCGTGGTTTTTCTTTTATTAATACAAATACTTCGACCAGTTTCTAAACTCATTTTATTTTTAAAATAATCTGTTATATTAATTTACGAACAATTGTTTTTCTTTTCTAAAATATGTTTACTGATGAATAAAAATAAAACAGAATTGTGTCTTCATCTGTATAATCGATATCTAATATGATTTGTTGATTTCATTTCACCAATACGACGATTATATTCTAATTTTTGACAACTCTTCTTGTTTTTTTGTTCTTCTTTATAGTCGAAGCATGACAACAGATTTATTTAAAAGTATTTATATATCAATGAGAATTTATACAACAATTATTCAAACAAAATCTATTACCTGGAATAGTAGTAATGAGATTTTAAATGCGTTAAAATGGGGTTTATATTGTAGTGAAGTATAGAAATCAATATTAACTTTCTTTTGGATTTCTAATCGAATCTTTTAGGGATATAATCATGTTAATCAAACTGTATATTATGATGAATTTTTAAAAAATTGTCAAATGATTCGTCAACATATATCATCAACAGATATTCCAAATGATTTCATTCCAAATGCTTATAGTTATTTATTACATGTTTGTTTGTTTATTTTTTTTGTTCTTCTATTGAAATAAGAAATTTAATTTAAGGCAATTTTTTGTCGAACGGATAACCAAATACGTCATCGTGAATTAGCATTAAGAATATTTTCATCATCAACTACAGTTTGTATAAAAATTTTATTAAATAAAAATCTAATTATTTATTTCTTAGTCAACAAATCAAACATGTTATCAAAATTTATTAAATCATATACGAACTTATATTAATCCTAATCGTGCATTATCAAATGCGAATCGATGTTTACTAGAAGCACTTATTACAATAACTATTTACTTACCTAAACATTTTGTAAGATTTTGTTAAGATCATTTTCAAAAAATAAGAAAAATTTATTTCAGGATTTTCTTTTTGATCTTCTTCATGATTTGAATAAGAGCGAACAAATATGTTTATTTATTATTGAAATTATTTTCAAACGATCTGATCTATCAAGGTAAATCTTTCATTTTAATTATTTTGAAATTTTAAATATTTTTTTATTCATAGTTCATATGATTGTCTTATTTCGATGAGAATTGAAAAAGTTCTTGAAATATTAACTCAAGCATCATATGGTGCTTATGTAATTTTAAAATTATTATTTAAAAATCGTCAATTATTTATTAAAGTATAATTATATTGAAAGAAAAAATTTTTATTTGATTAATTATTAATTTTTTGTTATTTATATAGGGTTTAAAAAATTCACTCGCTTGGCATACAAATATATTTGGCAAATTTTCATTTGTCTTTAGTAATACGACATATGATCCGATACGAACAATTCTAATTGATATTTGTCATGAAAATGAAATACAAAATGTTTTGATGGATGATTTATTTTAAAGAAAAACAAAGAAAAAACAATGGAGACTTGTCTTTAAATCTATTATTAATTTATAAGATAGAAAAAAATAAACTAATACTTTATCATTTATTTTTGGATTATGAAGCATTTGATTTATGACATATACACAATGGTAATACATCGGTTCGAAAGGGCACAAGTTCGAGTCTTGTTACTGTCACTTTCTTTTTATTATCCTTCAAACATCCTGTCTGATGTTTTTGTTTTTCTTTGCTTTATTGATTCCAAATTACTTTATCTATGATCGGTTCCCTATGTACGTGTGGGGGTGTATGGAAAGAAAGAAAAAAATGTCATATGGTTGAGATAAGTTAGTTTCTCTTGAAGATGTTTTTTTTTGCTGTACTGTTGTTATTTGCTGTATACACATACATCTGTCATATTAGTTGGAGCGCTTCTAATCATCATCATCATAATAACACATATAGCCTTGACTGATATTTATGCCTCCTATACATATGTATATAGACACACGTTCTCGCTTATTTATTTCTATGATGTTATTTCCGAGTCTAGTATCAACAAAATGTCATGCTGATCGAAGAAAAACATGAAGATTCGTCTAGCAAGTTATCAGATGATTGCTGATAATGATGATCACGCTAGGGGAAACTTGCCGAAATATAAATATATATATATATATTGGTGTGTATATAGATCCTGTCGCATACTCTTAGATGAGAAAGAGCGAGATGTATCGGTCAACGAGCACTATTCTCAATATAACAAACATGTGCATTCCAGATGAATCATGACAAGAATGTCTAGTGTATCGTCAGTCGCCACATCTATATGCCTTTTTATAAGCTTGTGGCTCTTTTCTTGCTTTTGTTCTTCTTCTTCTTCTTCTTCTTTTCTGACCGATCTTTCGATGGTAATAGAGTCCACATTTGTTGTCGTCATTATCATCATTATAATTTAGTTTCGATGCTCTTTAATATTGAAAAAATGAGAGAAAGTGAGAGTCAGATAGATAGACAGAAGAAAAGAGCGTTCGTGCTCGTTCACTATCATTAAACGACGGATTTGATAATTCTGCTCTTTCTTTCTTTTTTTTTTCTTTCAGATACACAGATATTTTTGTAAAAAAAACATACACATAAGAAGAGGAAGAAAGAAGCCATACTGCACACATTCATGCCCGCTCGGCTCTATTTTTTTTTGCTCGACTCGCCTACTTTTTATTTGTTGTTTCGCTTTCTCTTTTTTTTTTCTTTCTTGTTTCAGAAAGTACAGACCAAACCAATCTTGGTAGCAGTGTTGGCATATAAAAAAAGCTCCTTCTCTTGTTCTTCTTTTTCTTCGATTCTTTCTCTTTCTCTTTCTCTCTTCTTCTTTCTTTCTCTCTCTCTCTCTCTCACCCGTTTTCTTCCGACTGTTCGTTTACTGCTTGGGTCGACAATAACACAAGCACATACAGCAGAATGGTAGCGTGACGCGCAAAGTAAAGAACATAATGGCACAACAACATTTACAATCACAAAGAATTAACAACAGACTTGTTGAGTTTCTACTTTAACGAACGTTGTTGACACCTTTACTTTAAAAGAATTATTTATTATGATTCCATCTACTTTGAAAACGATCTTTGTCGACGGTGATTTAGACGATTCTTCACTATTATTTGATGTTCAACATCCATACCGTGATAAAGATCTTCTTTTAACAAATCAATATGATGATACTGAAGAAGATAGTCATGATCAGGTAAGATAATAAATAAATATGAATAATTGATCTTCTCCCTCTCTTGCTCTCTTTCTCTATTCTTTACTATTTTCTTTTTCTTTCCTTTTTCTTTTAATATTCTCTTGTTGTTGTTTTCGTCAGTGCGCACCTTTGATTCGCGTGTATGTGTGTGCATTATATCAAACTTTCAACAAATGTTATTCATAAAAACAACATACTGTTTTCGTTTTTTTTTCAAACCATGCAATAGGTGTATCTTATCATATCTCGTTTAATAATGTTGATGTGCGATGCATTTCGCCTTCGCAATCATCTGACAGAAAAACATATGGTAGAATATATTTGCGGCTTACATAGTTTCGTAGGTGGAACATTTCGACAGAAAATGAGAGCGAGGCAGTAAAAAAAAAAGAGATGAAAGTAGAGATTCTGCCAGGGTCATCTGATAAAGAGGAAAAAAAAAGTGGAGTTGAATGAATTCTTGCTTGTTAACATGTATTCTGATCAAGGTTAAATGAGCGAAAACTTACGGTTCTAAAAGAAATTATAATTGGATGTTATCTTCCACCTTCTTCTTTCTTTTAAACTAGAGAAAAGATTTTTGCATGTAAAGAAGAAAAGCTTTTACTCTTTATAGATCCATTGTTAATTTTATAATTATTAAGATATGCTTGGTTTATCACGAATGGATCAATGCTTTCATTTATATTCAGTAATTTTTTTCTTTACTAGATTTATTCGGATTATTTTAGTAAACAAAAAACAAAATATTTCAAGCATTAATAAAATTAGACTATTTTTTGTCCATTACGATTGTCCTCAAGCTGTGAAAGTACATAACATCATTATTATTTCTTTCTTATTTCCTCTAGTTCTCATCTAAACAATGATGTTCTTCATTCAGTTGATAGCTCTTTCGCTCTCCCTCATACACACATACATATATAAAGCTTTTATCTGGAAAAGATTATATTGTATTTGACCAATAAATTAACACCCTCTATTCGAGCACTAATGTTTGTAATATAAATATGTATATTCACTTTGACAAGAGAATTACTTCAATTTACATTACAAACATATGAGAAGAGATGTAGAAACGACGCATTTCACGATTTATTACTCTTACACCTCGTCATTTTACCATATATTTGCTAGCATGCAAATATGAACAACTGTTATATGTGTTAACACATATAAAAAAAAAAATTTTTTTCTCTTTTTCACATTCTTTTTTTTTTACAATTAGTAGTCACTGTTATTATGAGCGTTGTTTATATTTCATATGATGTACATATATATGTATATATAGGCTAGTAGAATGTTATATGTATACAACCTTGAAAAATTTGCATACAACATTAAAAAAAAATGAGAATATTTGGTTCCAGTTTTCTTTTTTATTACTTCGAACAAGTATGCTATTGATCATATGTGATCGATAACTCAACTTAATCTAATCGATCACATAGAATAGTGAATAGTTCAAATAAGAAAAACTGAGTAAATAGAAATTAACATGAATTTCAGTTTTTTTTCTTCTCTTCTTCTTTTGTTTTCTTTCGTCACGGAAGCATGGGAGAAAAAATTTGCATTCAGTTTTAATAATAATGATGTTAATAATGATCGAATCTGTGCATATATTATTCTATATAACAGCTGCATATACGTTCAATTTCTTTTTTCCTATGCAGATGTGCATAAATTTTTTTTTTATTCCTGCGGTCAATAAAAATGGTTGAATAGAATTCATATGCTGTTTCTAGCAGAAAGAAAGAGAATTCAAAGACATGATACATTTAATAGCATCGAATGTCTTATGACAACTGCTGATGTTGACACGCTCACATCAATCGACGATATGTATATATGTATATGCATATACATATAGGGAGGGAGAAAAAAAAGGAGGCACCTTGACGATCTGTTCTGCTCAAAAAGTACATACGGAACATAGTAGCCGAGAAGAGAAAGCGAAAGAAAAAAGAACGAAAGAACGAAAGAAAGAAAGAAAGAAAGAAGAAAAAAAGAAGCAAAGTAAGACGGGACAACTTTGACAAATCATTAGTCAGTCAGACGCCCTGCTCACGCGACATGTTGGCAGAAAAGAAGTCCGTTTATTATAAGTAAGAGCCGAGCAACAGCAGTATTAATAACAATGTTCGATATTGAAAATGATTTATGGGTAAGTAAAATTGACAGATGAAAACAAAAGTAATATATGGAGTATTATTACTCTGTTGATTGTGAGAATAGAATTGAAAAACGCAAATTTAATATGCCATTTATTGTCATTAAAATGGACAGATAAAACCATTTTTCATCATTTTTTCTTTCTTTTGTTTCATTTCTTATCATTCTTAAAAGAGTGTTACTTGATGTCAGCGAGTTAGGTAGTCATCAAAAAGAGAATTATTCTCTTATATCAATTGATAATTACATCACGTTTTTTTCAAGAAATAGAAACAAGGCACAACATGAGAGAATAGCAGGAGACGCTAGAGTTGCCAATTATTTGTGTATATATATATATATATATATACATATAAATGATGACCTTTGGCCCAGCCGAGACACTATTGAGTGTTCATTCGCTCGCTGTCACATTTAATTGAGATAAAAAGTATATCGACAGTTTCTTATCTTTATCAATATCTGTTTAGAACTCACCATTCTTTGGTCTATTCCCTCCAACATCGGATGCATCATCAAATACACTTCTTTCGACATGTATAAGTCACGATAGTTCTGGTTCAAGTTCAAATGGTTCATCGACTGCCTTCTCATTTACGGATTCAGCTTATGCATCATCTTCATCACCACCACCACAACAAAATTCAAATAATTCAGCTAGCCAATCAATTTCAATTATGCGTGGCCTTCAATCCCAACAACATCCACCTCAGCAACAGCAGCAGCAACAACAACAACAACAACAACAACAACAAACCCATCATATGTTAAACCAATCATTAATACATTCATCATTACTTGGGGGTGTAACAACTTCATCACCAAGTTCAAGTTTATCAAGCGTTCATTCAACACCAGCCATAGATAATCCTTGCTCTTCATCATCACCTTTTTTCCCCAAACAACAACAACAACAACAACAGCAACAACATCAAGATTATCATTATAATTATTGGAATTGTGCCGTATGTCAAGAAGCATATAAACAAAATCGACCACAAGTACTTCAATGTTTTCATAGATTATGTGAAACATGTGTAGAAAAATTATCAGAAAATAATGACACAAATATTTGTTGTCCATTATGTGGCTTAAC